TTATGTTTAAGTCTTTAATCCATCTGGAGTTAATTTTAGTGTAAGGTGTCAGGAAGGGGTCCAGTTTCTGCTTTCTGCACATGGCTAGCCAGTTTTCCCAACACCATTTATTAAACAGGGAATCCTTTCCTCATTGTTTGTTTTTGTTGGGTTTATCAAAGATCATATGGTTGTTGATAAGTTGTGTTGCCTCTGAGGCCTCTGTTCTGTTCCATTGAACTGTATCTCTGTTTTGGTACCAGTACCATGCTGTTTTGAATACTGTAGCCTTCTAGTATAGTTTGAAGTCCAGTAGTGCAATACCTCCCACTGTGTTCTTTTTGCTTAGAATTGACTTGGCTATGTGGGCTCTCTTTTGGTTCCATATGAAGTTTAAGGTGATTTTTTCCAATTCTGTGAAGAAAGTCAATGGTAGCTTGATGAGGATAGCATTGAATCTGTAAATTACTTTGGGCAGTATGGCCATTTTCACGATATTGATTTTTCCTAACCATGAACATGGAATGTTTCTCCATCTGTTTGTGTCCTCTCTTATTTCATTGAGCAGTGGTTTGTAGTTCTCCTTGAAAAGACCCTTTACGTTCCTTGTTAGTTGTATTCCTAGGTATTTTATTCTCTTTCTAGCAATTGTGAATGGCAGTTCATTCTTGATTTGGCTCTCTTTAAGTCTGTTATTGTGATTTTTGCACATTGATTTTGTATCCTGAGACTTTGCTGAAGTTGCTTATCAGTTTCAAAAGATTTTGGGCTGAGACAATGGGGTCTTCTAGATATACTATCCTGTCATCTGCAAATAGAGACAATTTGGCTTCCTCCTTTCCTATTTGAATACGCTTTATTTCTTTTTCTTTCCTGATTGCTCTGACTAGAACTTCCAGTACTATATTGAATAGGAGTGGTGAAAGAGGGCATCCTTGTCTAGTGCCAGATTTCAAAGGGAATGCTTCCAGTTTTTGCCCATTCAGTATGATATTGGCTGTTGGTTTGTCATAAATAGCTTTTATTATTTTGAGATACGTTCCATCGATACTGAGTTTATTGAGGGTTTTTAGCATAAAGGGCTGTTGAATTTTGTCAAAAGCCTTCTCTGCATCAATTGAGGTAATCATGTGGTTTTTGTCTTCGGTTCTGTTTATGTGGTGAATTACATTTATAGACTTGTGTGTGCTGAACCAGCCTTGCCTCCCTGGGATGAATCCTACTTGATCATGGTGGATAAGCTTTTTGATGTGCTGTTGCAATCAGCTTGCCAGTATTTTATTTGAGATTTTTGCATCTATGTTCATCATGGATATTGGCCTGAAGTTTTCTTTTCTTGTTGAGTCTCTGCCGAGTTTTGGTAACAGGATGATGTTGGTCTCATAAAATGATTTGGGAAGGATTCCCTCTTTTTGGATTATTTGGAATAGTTTCAGAAGGAATGGTACCAGTTCCTCTTTGTGTGTCTGGTAGAATTCAGCTGTGAACCCATCTGAACCTGGGCTTTTTCTGTGTGGTAGGCTCTTAATTGCTGCCTCAACTTCAGATCTTGTTATTGGTCTATTCAGGGTTTCAGCTTCCTCCTGGTTTAGGCTTGGGAGGAGGCAAGTGTCCAGGAATTTATCCATTTCTTCCAGGTTTACTAGTTTATGTGCATAGAGTTGTTTGTAATATTCTCTGATGATGGTTTGAATTTCTGTGGAATCTGTGATTTCCCCTTTATTGTTTTTATTGCATCTATTTGGTTATTCTCTCTTTTCTTTTTTATTAATCTGGCTAGTGGTCTATTTTGTTGATCTTTTGAAAAACCAGCTCCTGGATTTATTGACTTTTGAAGGGTTTTTTGTGTCTCTATCTCCTTCAGTTCTGCTCTGATCCTAGTTATTTCTCCTTAAGAGTATTTATGCAGTTGATAGAACTTCCCATGTGCATGTCTGCTTATGTGCACTGTTACATTTGTAAAACTTAGAAGCCAATAGTATCCCTTATTTTTAAATTTAGCATTCAATAATCTGTCCAGCAATATATAGCATTAGAGACTCTGGGATGGTCTTCAGTGATATAGCCATCAATCACGAGTCGGTACCTGATCCTGGTTAGTCTTATTTCTGATATGATTTATATAAAATGAGACCAAAGCTTTAAAATAACTAATAATAATGGGCTGAGAGGGTTTCTCTGTGGAATACTCAAAGAATCCAGTAGATCCCACTCTGCATGTGAAGTAGGAGTCCACTCCCTTCAGTATGTAAGCATCAGGACCCTGATTCTGCAGTGGAATCTGCAGTCCCCTGCTGTATCAGCTTCATTACCTCAAGGGAGAATGAATGGCCTTCAGTTTTTTATGTCTCAGTTGACATGTGCAGCATATTTGAGTGCCTCTTTAGTTATTTACCCAGATTTATGTGCAACCATGTCAAGCTTGCTCACCTGGGTGAGTCACAAGGTTACATTCCCAGTGGGTCATTACACTGTGTCACAAAAAATCAAACACGTTCATTTGTCATTATGTATCTCTCCTAAAGTTCAACCTTGATAGGATAAAAGATGGTCCACGAACAGCTTTAAAGGTGGTTTCTTAAATGTTTGTCTGTGGTTTACAAAAGTCACAATACTCAAATTAATTTCTCTTTTACTCCAGTTTTTAGTTTTCCATGTTCTGCCTCTATGAGAAAACCCAAAAGTCAGTATAAATTTATTCCCACTGATTTGTAACCAATCAACATTATGTATATTACATAGGATTCTGTAGATTGGGTTGCCAGCCTTCTTCCTTCTTTTACCTATTTCCTATTGGATGGTAAGATAATAATGGGCCAGGCTTGATGACTCAGGTTTGTAATACCAGCACTTTGGGAGGCTGAGGTGGGAGAGTCACTGAGGTGGGAGGAGTTCAGGAGTTCAAGACCAGCCTGGGCATCATAGTACAACCTCATCTTCTTTTTTAAAAATAAATGTTGTAATGTTATTTGCCACTTCTATTAATATCCCTGGACTACAGTTCTACCATGTATTTTTTTAACCATATATTATTATAAGATATCATTAAATCTGCATATTTGTAGGCATCATTAATATTAATAGGATCTATAGCAGTGAATTCTTTGGTTAAGTCAGAGACTACAATATGAAAACTAGAAATTCACCATTTCTTTCAGGTGTGTGTATGCTGTTGTGCGAATCACTCACGCTTCAGAAAAGTCACTGTGGGCCTAAGCCAACAGGTAGCCAGTCTGTGAAAGAATGAACGAAGATCCTAGAATAAATACATAGTGCCCACCGAGTGGAAAATGCGCTCAAGTTGTTTCTCTACAATTGTGGAATGTTTCCCTGAGCCAGCTCATCTGATGCATCAAAGGCCCCAAATTGTTTTCTTCATCCTCTTATGGCCATTGTCATTAACTCCATTCTGCCCTTGCCTATGCCATTGACCGTGCAACTCTTTCACTGCATGGCCCTAGACGCAGAGCCATTTTTCCAACTTTAAGTGCATTAAAGGGCTCCTGTCTCTGAAAGACAATGGAAGTCAGTGGTTCTCTTTATTTTTTGGTATTTAAAGCCATCATTAGGGTCAAGTGGGAAATACGTTTTCTCCAGACGTTTTTAGGGGCTGTTCAATGCAATAACTTTTCACTTCCTACACTACAATTGATGCCATCTGTGATGATTAATGCTGAGTGTCAACTTGATTGGACTGAAGGATAAAGGGTATTAATCCTGGCTGTGTCTGTGTGGGTGTTGCCAGAAGGGATTAACGTTTGAGTCAGTGGGCTGGGGAAGGCAGACCCACCATTGATCTGGTGGGTACAATCTAATCAGCTTCCACTGAACATAAGCAGACAGAAAAATGTGAAAAGAGAGGTGAGCCTAGCCTCCATCTTTCTCCCACGCTGGGTGCTTCCTGCCCTCGAACATTGAACCCCAAGTTCTTCAGTTTGGGGACCTGGACTGGCTCTCCTTACCCCTCAGCTTGCAGACACCCTATTGTGGGACCTTGTGATTGTGTAAGTTAACACTAATAAACTTCCATCTAATATTATATATATATTCACACACACACACACACACACACACACACACACACACACAGAGACACCCTATTAGTTCTGTCCCTCTAAGAGAACCCTATGTGCAGGGCATATAGGATAAGACATTTTTTCCTAACCAGAGAGTGGGACATTGAGAATTCTCAAAGGCAATCCCGTTCTCATCCGCGGGAGGATGTCTCAGAGAAGAAAGGATGGTGGAAGGCAGGTCTTCTCTAAAGAAGAGTGTTTGCCACAGCCTTAGAAAGTGCAGAGAATCCCCCAGAGGATTGCTGGGATAAGAAGCCAGGGAGCTAAAAGGAATTCAAATAGGGAAAGAAAGTAAAATTACGTCTGTTCATAGGCGACATAATCTTAAATGTCGTAGAATACTGAAGATTTCACAAAAAAACTATTAGAAATAATAAGTGACTTTAGCAAAGTACCAGGACACAAAATAGCACAGAAAAAGAATGTGTGTTTCTATACCCTAACAATTACCAGTTAAAGGAGGAAATTCAAAAAATAATTTTATTTACAACAGCATAAAACAATACATAGGAATTAGCCAAGGAGGTGGAAGACTTGAACAATGAAAACTACAAAATATTGCTGAAAAATATTAAAGAACACATGGAAAAAGTGGAAAGACTCCCCATATTTATGGATTGGAAGATTTAACATTTCTAAGATGTCAGTACTACCAACGGCGATATACAGATTCAATGCAACCTCTATTAAAATCCCAAAACCTTTTTTTTTTGCAAATTTAGAAAAATCCATCCTACATTCATATGGAATCTCAAGGGACCCTGAATAGACAAAACAATTTTGAAAAAGAACAAGCTGGGTGTGGTGGCTCATGTCTGTAATCCCAGCACTTTGGGAGGCTCAGGCAGGAGGATTGCTTGAGGCCAAGAGTTCAAGACTAGCCTGGGCAACATAGCAAAAACTTTTCTCTACAAAAAGCTTTTTAAAAGAACAAAGTTGGGGCACCCTCCCCGGCCGAGGTGCTCCCTGGTGCTCCTCGTGCAGCCATGGGTCAGCACTTCTCCCTGGCCACCTGCGACATGGTCGGATTTGACCTGGACCACACTCTGTGTCGCTACAACGTGCCCGAGAGCACCCCACTCATTTATAATAGCTTTGCCCAGTTCCTAGTGAAGGAGAAAGGGTATGATAAGGAATTGCTTGATGTGACCCCAGAGGATTGGGATTTCTGTTGCAAGGGTTTGGCATTGGATCTAGAAGATGGGAACTTCCTTAAACTTGCAGATAATGGCACTGTCCTCAGGGCAAGCCATGGCACCAAGACGATGACTCCAGCAGTGCTGGCAGAGGCAGATGGCAAGAAAGAGTGGAAGTGCTTGTCGGACACTGGATGGCTTGCCGCTCAGGGCAACTACTTTGACCTGCCAGGAGCTCTTCCATGTGCCAGGGTGGCAGACTATTTAACAAAACAGAGCAATGGTCAAAAAACATTGGATTTTTGGAAGGACATAGCTGCTGCTATACAACACAATTATAAAATGTCAGCTTTTAAGGAAATCTCTGGAATATACTTCCCAGAAATGAAAGGAGATCCAGGCAGGTACTTACACAGTTGTCCTGAATCTGTGAAAAATGGCTTCAACAGCTGAAGAATGCTGGGAAAATTCTTCTGTTAATTACCAGTTTTCACAGTGATTACTGTAGACTTCTCTGCGAATATATCCTTGAGAATGATTTTTGACCTTTTTGACATTGTGATTACAAATGCATTGAGGCCTGGTTTCTTCTCCCACTTACCAAGTCAGAGACCTTTCCGGACACTTGAGAATGATAAGGAACAGGAGGCACTGCCATCTCTGGATAAACCTGGCTGGTACCTCCAAGGAAACGCTGTCCACCTCGATGAACTTCTGAAGAAAATGACTGGCATTTTATTTTGGTGACAGCATGCATTTAAACATCTTCCCAGCTCAGCACTATAGTCATTGGGCGACAGTCCTTATCCTGGAAGAACTCAGAGGGGACGAAGGCACAAGGAGGCAGAGGCCTGAGGAGTCAGAGCCCCCAGAGAAGAAAGGAAAATATGAGGGACCAAAGGCAAAGCCTCTAAATACTTCATCTAAAAATGGGGCTCTTTTTTCATTGATTCAACTTTGGGACTGGAACATACAGAAGACTCCTTGGTTTATACGTGGTCTTGTAAGAGAATCAGTACTTACAGCCCTATCGCGATTCCAAGTATTGAAGCAATCACAGGATCACCTCTGGACTCCAAATTTACAAGATGCTCTTCAGGCAATTCCAAAACAGCTGGCTACTATCCAAACCCTCCTCGGTCTTATCAAGTGATGACAGACTGATAACCAAATAAGTTGTCTTTACTGAAAAATGAAGACCCATATACGCAGTTAAACAAAAGTTACTTTTCAAAAATTCCTGTAAAAGGCTTTCAGGAACAAGTTTTTAATGACAATTGACCAAGAAGTTGATACTTGTCCATAGATCTCCTTTCTATAAACCATCTTGATGTCTAGCAACTCTTATTATATTAAAATCTCAGCATCCTAGAACTTAGAACCGTATTGATGTTTTCTATACAATAGTTTTAAGATTAGAATTCACCTGGGGACTATAAGGACACATGCATACGAATGTTCATTGCAGCACTGTTTACAATAGCAAAGACTTGGAATCAACCCAAAGGCCCATCGATGATATACTGGACTGGGAAAATGTGGCACATATACACCATGGAATACTATGCAGCCATCAAAAACGATGAGTTCGTGTCCTTTGTAGGGACATGGATGAACCTGGAAACCATCATTCTCAGCAAACTGACACAAGAACAGAAAATCAAACACTGCATGTTCTCACTCATAGGTGGGTGTTGAACAATGAGAACACATGGACACAGGGAGGGGAGCACTACATGCTGGGGTCTGTTGGGGGGAAATAGGGGAGGGTCAGTGGGGGGTGGTGAGTTGGGGAGAGATAGCATGGGGAGAGATGCCAGATATAGGTGAAGGGGAGGAAGGCAGCAAATCACACTGCCACGTGTGTGCCTATGCAACAATCCTGCATGTTCTTCATATGTACCCCAAAACCTAAAATGCAATTAAAAAAGAAAAAGCAAAAAAAAATCAATAAAAAAAAATTCACCTGGGGATGGACACACACACACACACACACACACACACACACAAACTCAGTCTTACACATATGCCTAGTCCAGTGGTTCTCAGAGTGTGTTCCATAAACTAATAGCATAGCATGACCTGAGGACTTCATAATGCACATTTGCAGGCCCCACCCAAAACCTGCTGAATCAGAAGCTCTGAGAGTGGGGCCTACCAATATGCGGTTTAACAAGCTCAGCAGGTGATTCTGATTTACCTTATAGTTGGAGAACCCACTGGCTAGACCACATCCTCCAAATACGGGCTTAATTGGTCTGGATAAATAAAGCTGAGCACTGTTATCTTTTGTGTGCCCTAGGAAACTGCAGCCAGAATTGAAAACCAACTGACCTATACCAGTTCTTTCAACTCATAGTCAAGAACACTGAGTCCAGTCAGATTAAGTGATTTTCAAATCCTGTGTTTTCCAAAACAAGAAAATATAAAGACATGATGTGTTCTTTGTTCATACAGCAAGTATGGAAGAGAGATGCTCTAGAGGTCAACTATCTCAACCTCCATTCTTACCCACTAGGTTTTTTCCTAATCATGTTAAAGGCTGTTTAATTTACTTAATCAACTTTAAACCTTCCATTCTCAACTGGGGACAAAAATTGGTTCTTGGGGTGAAAAAAAAATCTTAGATATGGATTGTAGACTTCCAGAATCATCCTATTCAACAAAATGGTATTCCTTAGTGTTAATTGATCTCATGAGGAAGAAATGTGTAGTTAAAACTATGAATTTAATTTGAATTTGATTTCTGTAATTGGAAAGGGTGGTCATAATGAACAGCAAGTTTGAGAAATGCTTGACCGGGTTTGACAGGAATACTACAACCCAGGCCTGTTGTGTTCCGTGTGCTGGCTGTAGTCATATTAGTAGCTATTTGTTGCAAGATACTTGGAGCCAAATAATGTTTGTAGTACAGGTTCCTGGCTACTGTTTATGCTGTAATTTCATTCTGTCTGTCTGTCATGGGCAGTATTAGAAAACACACTGATTTTCACTATCTGGTTTTCAAACTCTGTCATTATTTTACCTGGATTGTAGTGGAGAATTTAGCATATCAATGCATGCAATGGAAAGAAAAGAATTTTGTTAAAATTTATAAATGTTCAGATAAATCCCAGATATACTGTGGGATGAGCATCTCAGGGTAGGTAAAAAAAAGAAAATATATATATATATATATATACTGAAATTTTTCCCTACCAGTAGCTTTGTTTGATATTTAGCAATAAGTATAGGTGATATACTTGAAATTTATTTCCAGAATGTCATTGGAATATTACAATGAGCATAAATAATCAAGCTTAGGATTAAAGGATGCTATCTCATGTATGCTTTAAATAGATAACTGGTTTCTTTTCAAAATAAAGCTATTTTTTCTTAAAATAAAATAAATAAAAAGAACAAAGTTGGAAGACTCATATCTCCTGACTTCAAAATGTAATACAAAGTTCAAGTAATCAAAACAGTGTGGTACTAACACAAAGACATATAGACCAATGAAATAAAATAAAAAGCCCAGAAATAAACCCTGTGTATATGGTCAAACGATTTCTGAGAAGGGAACCAAGACCATCCAGTGGGGAAAAGACAGTCTTTTCAACAAATGGTTCTGGGAAAGCTGGATATCTAATTGCAAAAGAAAGAAGTCGAACCCTTGTTAGGCTGCCCCTTTCCTGGTTCATGAGCTAAAGAGAGCAGACAACTAACTGTCATTTTTGGACCTTGAGGTCTAGTCAGTCTGCCCTTTTCAGAGTCTCCTTATGTTTATAATATAGAAAATGTCCAGGGTTTTAGTTCTACTTACCGGGGGGACTAGGGAAAAGCATGGCTATCCCATCTTCCTGGAAATGAAAGTCACTCTGCCAGCCATTTTGTTTTGCTTTTGTTAGAGACAAGGTGTCACTCTGTCACCCAGGCTGCAGTACAGTGCATCATAGCTCACTGCAGCCTCCCACTCCTGAGCTCAGGAAAGCAACTGCAATACCCTTGTCCCTTGTCCCAGTCTCCTGGGTAGCTAGGACCACAGGTGCGTAACACCACAGCTGACTATTTTTTTTTAGAGATGGGGTCTTGCTATATTGCCCAGGCTGGTCTCAAAGTCCTGGCCTCAAGCCATCTCCCTGCCTCAGCTTCCCAAAGTGCTGGGATTACAGGCATGAGCCATCATGCCTGGCCTCAGTTTTTTAATGTAAGTTCTTACTTCACCTTCATTTTCTGAAACATAATTTTACTGGGTAAATAATTCTAGGTTGAGGGTTTGTTTCCTTCAGTACCTAACAGATGTTGGTCCACTGTGTTCTAGCTGACAATTTTTTGATGACAAAACTGCTATCACCCTTCTTCCTTTGTACATAACTAGTTGTTTTTCCTCTGGCTGCTTTTACAATTTTCTAACAGGTTTTGAGAGATTGTATTAGGCTTTGCCTTTGTGTAGTTATTTTCCTATTTCTTGTGCTTGGGGTTAATTGAGCAAATTAGATCTGTGGCTTTATAAGGTTCATCAAATTTGGGGAAATTTGGGTCCCTATTTCTACTAATAGTTGTTCTATTCCTCTCCTTGTTCGGGCATTCCATTTGTCTTGGTTCATTCATTCCATAATAAAATACCACAGACTCGGTAATTTTGAAATAATAGAAACTTATTTCTTGTAGTTCCGGAGGCTGGGAAGCCCTGGATCGAGGCACCAGCACTGGTGTCTGGTGACAGGGGTTCTTTGCTTTCAAGAAATGCCTTAATCCCATTCACATGACCTAATCTCTTCCTAAAAGGCCCCAATTCATACCCCCACAATGGAGATTAAGTTTGAACATGAATTTTGGAGGGGACACACATAGTACCAATTATTATGCCTCTTGAACTTTTTCCACAATTCACTGATATGCTGTTCATTTTTACGCCTTTTTTTCTGTTTTATTTTGTGTAGTTTCCATTCTTTTTTTTGAGACAGAGTTTCGCTCTTGTTACCCAGGCTGGAGTGCAATGGCACGATCTTGGCTCACCGCAACCTCCACCTCCTGGGTTCAAACAATTCTCCTGCCTCAGCCTCCTGAGTAGCTGGGATTACAGGCACACACCACCATGCCCAGCTAATTTTTTTTGTATTTCTAGTAGAGACGAGGTTTCACCATGTTGACCAGGGTGGTCTCAATCTCTTGACCTCGTGATCCACCTGCCTCAGCCTCCCAAAGTGCTGGGATTACAGGCTTGAGCCACCGTGCCCGGCCTGTAGTTTCCATTCTTATGTCTTTCAAGTATAATCTTTCTTTGCAATGTCGAATCTAATGTTCATCCTATCCAGTATATTTTTCTTCTCATGATTTGTAGTTTTAATCTATGAAGTTCAATTTGGGTCTTTCAGACATGTGACAAAACAGACATATATTTATATATATAAACATGTTCAATTTTTCCTCCAGCCTTTGAACATATAAACTTATTATTGTTTCAACTGTCTGCTATTTCTATCCTCTGTATCAAGTCTGAGTCGATTTCAGTTGATGGATTTTTTTCTCATTACGGTTTTATTTTTCTATTTTTTTGAATGCCTCATAATTTCTTTCTGATGTCGGATATGGTGAATGTTTTCTTGTTTGGTGCTGAACATTTTTCTTTTCCTACAAATATTCTTGGGCTTTGTTCTAGGATGCAGGTAAGTTACTTGGAAATGACTTGATCCTATGGCTCTTGCATTTAAGATATTAGATCAGACCTTAGCCGTGTTGTATTCATTTTTTATCACTGCCGTTGACAAATTACAACAAACTTAGTGACTTAAAAACAATACAAATGTATGTCCAAAATGGGTCTTCCCTAACTACAAGCCACACTGTTTCTTCCTGGAGGCTCTGAGAATCCATTTCCTTGCTCCTAAGGCTACCCATATTCCTAGGTTTATAATTCTTTTTCATCTTCAAAAGCCAGCAACAGCAAGTTAAGCTCTTTTCATGTCCTATCGCTCTGACTTACCTCTTGCACTTACTAGATTGGGCCTAATTATATAATACAGGGTAATCTTTCCATCTCAAGGTGAGCTGATTAGCAAACGATTCCATCTGCAGTCGTAGTTACCCTTCAACACGTAACCTAACAGAATCACAGATTCTGGGAATTACTATGCAGACATCTTTGGAAGGCCGTGGTTCTGCCTACAATAAGCATTTAGTCTTAGGCTAATTG